ACGTAAAATTTGTGTTCTTACCGTGATTTGTAATAGCTTGTAGGTTCCCTCGACGCGCAGACCTAGAGCTGACGAGAGGAAGAGCTGATATCTCACTTTGATGAGATATCTGGCTTTTGGTTCTTGTTTCCTTTGACAAACGAGAATTTTATTGTGATCTAATCTCTTGTTGTGCTCCTTGCGCACCGGAGGTGCTGCCGAAATTTTCGCTGCGCACAACACCATGAGACAACCTGTAACCATAATGGAAAAATTATTAGACTGCTTCATAGATGGAGCAAAATTTAATATAGGGTAAATTGTTGAAGTCTCTGTTATCGTACAGGATGCCGACACTAATTTGTGGAGAAACAAGTTTAAGAAATTCATCACAAGGCAGTATTGCAGTAAGTGAAAAAACAAGGCAAATAATTTGATACTTTCAGAAATGTCACTCTGAGACACTGCGACAACTGCTGAGCTCCAATGGGAAGCTTATATCAATTTCTGAAACCAAAAGTAAGTTATACTTCATGTTGGCTATTTCTGAATTCCAATTTGATGCTTAAAATGTATGCTTTATGAGGTGCAGATAATAGATCTTAGGTACTTTTTCATATTGACACCTAAAACTTTCCCTAAATCCCATTAGTTTCTCTTCTTTCCCACCTCAAATTATATGAGTTGGACAAAAACTGTCGTCTATGTTAGCCGAGTGAACCATAGATCTGATATTCTCGTTCAAAATTAAAATAGAAGGATAAAGAATTTCATACTTTGCATAGGATGCCGACTGAATCGAAGAGGCGCGAAATCTGTAAGCGCAGAACAGAGTCGGGGACGGGGTTGGGGTAACGAGCGAGAGAGAGAGGGAGATTAGGTCAAGGCAGAGTTGGTCGGCGGCGGGGTTGGGGTTGAAAGACCCTATCCCGCTCTGATACCAATTGTTAGACCCTAGAAGGGGGGTGATTAGGGTCTTATGTTAATCTAATCCGATTTTATGCCAATTAAGAACTATTAATAAATATATTCTTGCAAGATAGATATACAACTAATTATGAGCAAGGGTAAACAAACTAAACTAGATAGTGGGATAAATAAACAATGAGCAATACACAATGACGATATAAGATATGAACACAAAAATAAGTGCACCAATGCAATCACAAACAAACAAACAATCACGGAGTTCGGTCCCCACGACCTACATCTCCGCTCCTCACCTCGAGGAGATCTCCACTATCATACCGGGTTTTCTACGCTTACCCGAAAATGTTTACACCTCACAATACGGTTTTCTAGCTAACCGAAAACTTTACAATACTCATAATATAACTATACTAACTACCACCTCAAGTATTGGTCTCTAGCTCATGTCTCCCTCAAGTTTAGGAATTACAACCTCTCTTTAGGCATTACCACCTACCCCACTCCTCTTGGGACGACCTCGTCTCTCACCACACACTCCTCTTGGTGTACTAGTATATTACAATAGTGATCTCACAATTAGGTTCACAACAACAATTGATTTGTTCTCTAAACAAGGTGAGAACTAAGTTAAGCACAACTCAAAGTTACAATTCTCTCACAACCCCAATTATACTATGTATGAAAATACTATAAGCTCAAAGTGGGTGTGTGTAACAATGAGATTTATCAAATCTAAACTCAATATAAAAACTAGCTTTAATGAATGATAATCAAACAAATATGTAAATGTAAAGCTAGATATGAGTTTAGAAAACTTCTCAATAGATCAAGAGAGTGAGGGAGAAGAGTTGGATGCTCAAACACCGATGGATGATCTTCCTCAAGCCCTTGTGAAATTGTTTTCACAAAATAAACTCTCAAATGCTTAAAAGCTTTTTAAACAAACACTAAACAAAACTTTAAACCCTTGTTAAACCTTCTTAAAACATTCTCTTGGTTAGGTAAAAATAGTTATGACAATGGGGTATATATAGAGTGGAAGAAACCAGCCCAAGAAAACCCCAAAAACCCATAAAAATATTAAAATACATAAAATCTAGAAATAGCCGTTACTAAGCAACGGTCAAATTTATAAGTCGACTTATAGTCGACTTAGTGTAAGTCGACTTATAGTCGACTTAGTGTAAGTCGACTTGATATAAAACGTAAGTCGACTTGCCAGATGAAAATAACACAGAAATCAGCTCATAAGTCGACTTGTAAAGTTCATAAGTCGACTTGGTCTAAGTCGACTTAACAGTTTATATAAGTCGACTTGGCAGAAAAGTTTTACACATTCCAGAGCATTTCATAAGTCAACTTGTCAACCCTGCTAAGTCGACTTATAAACGTGCACAGGCACTGTTCATGTTGAAAATCTAATTTTAAAAGTGCCTTTAAAAATAGCAAATAAATTTTAAAAAATATAAAACTTTGAGAAATGATTGTAGACATGATAATACACATACTACAAAAACTAGTTTTCAAAAAAGACTTCCCAAATGTAAAATATCATCATTTTTTAAAAATGTCCAAAACATGAAAATATAAGATACTTAAATTTTGATGTTTTGACATAAACCAAGTTTTGAAACTTTGTAAAATATTTATATGGACATAATAAAAGATGTTTATGATGTATATATAGTCCAAAACTTATTTTGCATAAAAACACTTATATTTATGAAAATCACAAATATATATGTGTGTGTGTATTTGAGCTTATAGAATAAACACACATTATATAAACCCTAAACTACAAACACTATAAACTATATACCCAAGCTTGATTAATCTTCATGAACCCTTCTTGGTAAACATACGGATGAAGCTTGATCTTGAATATGGCTTGATGTGCAATGGCTTCATACCGATATTCCGCCAACCTCTATTTGATGTGATCGTGTAGGCTCAATCCATCCAACCTCCAACATATTGTTTGTCTAGAATAAATAGAAAATAAAAATACTAGACAAACAATATTAGTGATAAATTATTTGTTAAACATCATCAAAAAAGGACCCAACAGGGGTCACGAGAGAGAGGTTTTCTAACCGGCGGCGGAGAGAGAGTTGGTTGGCGGAGAGAGAGTTTTCTAACCGGGGCGATTGACTGAGAGAAATAGGCGTGGAACCTTTTAAGATTCAGATTTTTTTAGCTACAGAATCAATATAACTTGATTTCCTATTTTGTGTGGATTTTCTTAGACGAAAATACCCCTCCTACAATTAATTCATGCCACCTCATCTTGATTAGATATTAATCTAAATTTTTAATCCAACAGTTATAAACTTTGGTGGACAAGGACTCTTATCAACTTAAGTTGACAATCTCATCCACTCATTCAAATAGGGGACAACATTTACATGGGTTGAGGAATGCATAGGGATATGCAATCATTTGAATGAGTGGATGAGATTATATCACCTCACTACCAAGCATAATTTTTTGTGCTTGGTACCAAGCATACCCATTTTTCTCATATATATATATATATATATATATATTATATATATATATATAATATATATATATATATCATATATATATATATTATAATACATAATATAATATATATATCTATACTATATATATATATATATATATGATATATCATATATATATATATATATAATCGATTAATGGTATGCCTTTGATCATAGAGGGGATTTCCTCCTTTGACAGCCTATGTGACATAATCCCCACGCATCGCTGCAATACAAGTAGGAGAGAGTGTGTGAATTGGATGGGGATTTGTACTGCTATTTATAAGGATGGTGAGGATTGTGCCACATAAGCGACAATGAGGGAAATCCGCTCCTATGACGGATACTCATTAGTCTCATATATAATATATATTATATATATATTATATATATATATATATTATATATAGTATATAATATTATATATATATATGTATATATATATATACATATTATATATATATATATATTGGTGAGGTTCTAATAAAAATCCTGCCTTCCCTAAAAACTAAAACCACTATTTAATTGCACTAAATACCCATTAAAGAGTGGCAATAAATGCCATTATTATACTGAGTGCAACAAATTGGGCAACAAAACAACCGAATGAATCCAGATCACTGGATGTGAATCCAGATTGCAATCCAGGCGAATCCAGTTTTACCGTCACATAAACTGAATTGGATTCACTGGATTCACTGCAGTGAATCTGGATTCACTCATATATAGGGTGAGGATTTCCAGTTGAAAAAACGAAGACACGTATGAGTGAATCTGGATTCACTGCAGTGAATCCAGATTCAGTTATGTGAGGTGTTTGTTTTTTGAAGAATAATGACATTTATTGCAGTGAATCCAGATTCAGTTATGTGAGGTGTTTTTTTTTTGAAGAATAATGGTATTTATTGCACTCTTTAATAATGGTATTTATTGTCATCACTGAATCTGGATTCACTGCAGTATAAGCTTAATCTCAACCATTGGATGAGATAGATCCAATGACCCACAATGGTTTTTAGTTTTTAGGCTAAGGAGGTTTTTATTAAAACATCACCATATATATATATATATATATATATATAGAGAGAGAGAGAGAGAGAGAGAGAGAAAGTATTTATATAGAGAGTAAATATTTCTAAAATTACTCATCAATCATAGTTATTTGTAATTTAACCCTTCAAAGTACACTTACTCCTCAATTTTGCTCTTCCATCTAATCTTTTTTAATTTAAATTATAACCTAGCTCGGAAATGAACTCAATATCATGGGAGTCTTATTGGAACCCCCAACCATTTGGGGTACCTTGATGGAGCGTCTTTTCATCTAATCTTCAGATAATAAATGGAATGTTCTGTTAAAATGATTAATGATTTATAACTAACTAATTTCCCTTACTACGTTAAGTAAATTTAAAAATGTTTAATCTCGACATTGTTATAATAATATCAATATACGATTTTGAGGGTTGAAAATGAAAGAACAAAGGAGAGAACAAGAGGTGTTTGGAAATAACCCTTGTATTTGCTGTTATTATTTCAAGCCAGATTTACTTGAATCATTCATCTTATTAGTTTTTCGGTTGTATCTACAAAATGCGATGGAGTTAATGAGGCTGAACTCGATGGAAGGGCATCACCCTCACAAACCCTAGCCTAACCGGAATCCGATTAGAAACTCAATCTAAGCGGCGCAGGTAATCCTTTATTCTGATTTCATAATCCAATGAGAAACTCCAATCCAATTAGAGATCACACCTTTTCTTTCTCCTTCTTCTGCTTAAAAAAAATTCCATAGCTTTTTCTTTATTTCTTTCTTCTTCATTTAGAAGCTCATATAATAACAATTGATGGAGTAACGTCGAACGCTCTTAAATACCTAGGAAACATGGCGAGCAAGAAACGCATGGACACATTGCAAGCGGATGTTGACGCAAAAAAGAAACAAAGAATCAATAGTACTCAGGTATTATTTTGTCGTTTTCGTTTACTAAATTCATTCTGATGGATGGTTAACGTCTGAAATTAAAAAACTGTGCGCGCGCGCACAGCCTGAATCGATAATTGGAACTTGCTGCTGCTTATGGTTTCTACTACCCCTTGACATAATGGCTGACATACTATCAAGACTACCTGCGAAATCTGTCGCAAAGTTCCGCTGTGTCTGCAAACGATATCTCTCTTTAACTCATGATCCCCTTTTCTTGAAATCGCACCAGGAGAGATCTTCAAGCTATGTGGTTGTTGGTAAATGTCTCCGTCATGGAGAAATCTATAAATACAGTAATATTGGAGATGGGAAAAATTCTAAGGAGATTTACTGTAAAGTTAAACTCGAGAGAGTCTACTATCAGTTATCAAATTTTGTGGATGGTTTGACTTGTGCTTATGGCTATACTGGTAAATCTGATTTATACTTACTAAATCCCATGACTCGGGAACTTCAGAAACTCCGAAAGAACAATAGTCGTCGAGAGTACTTTAAATATGAAAATTTTGGTCTCGGTATCGACTTGACTATGGGGCTTTGCAAGATAGTTAGGTTATTTACTTGTTCTGATGATCGTCGTGTTGTTCAGTGTGAGGTCTATAATGTGGTCACAATGCAATGGAGATTCCTTGGTGAAGCTCCCTTTGAATTATTCAACCATTCTAATTCAGTTTTCTTTCTTGGAGCCCTCCACTGGATTGGATGTTTACCAGGAGATGGATATCAAGATCAAGGAATACCAAGTATTTATAGATTCAATATCAAAGATGAGAAGTTTGAACCGCCAATATCACTCCCATGTCCGCCATCCCCTGATATGTATTTGTGTCCTGATTTTGGTTTGAAGGAGTTAAAGGGGAAGTTTTGGCTGTTTTACATGAGCTTTGACCGGACATACTGCGAGATATGGACTATGAAAGATTATTTGAATAGCGCTTGGGTCAAAGTGAGCTTTGACCGGACATACTGCGAGATATGGACTATGAAAGATTATTTGAATAGCGCTTGGGTCAAAGAGTATAAATTCCACAGCAACAATCTTTTAAGTTTGCTCGAGGTTTGCGATAAGGAAATTGTAGATAATGATATACTCTTTAGACCCTACCGATGTCAATCTTTTGCATTTTACAAGGAAAGTCTTATTTCGCCGAAGAAGTTGTCAAAGGCATCCAGAAGACGTAAAAAGTAGGTGGAGGTGAGTAACGCATCAAATGTATCTGGACAGTTTTTATTCAGATGTAGACATAACACGCCTGAGGAATGAAAAACTGTCTAATTCATTCTTAAAAATCTTGGATATCATTTTTTTAATTTTTGCATCATATTTTGACCATAGGAATGGAACACTGTCTTGTTTTCAACTTCTGCAATATATCTCTTGTTTGTGCCTATAGGATTGCTCAGCTTTAAGAGTTTATTTTTATCTATAAGAAGTTTGCAGTTCATGTAGAGACTTGTGAGGAGTCACTGATTTGATGAGCATATCCCACTCGTCCATTGTTAGTTTTGTAAGTCATAATATCCATATTCTTTGCTTTGTGTGCAAAAGATCTTGGAGTACATGTGTGCTTGGTAGGTCACTTTTCTCGAGAGTTATTATGCAAAAATCTTTAGTATTTGAAAGTTTGTTTTAATTTTCTTAGATTGGTATCTTCGTCTATAATTTGATATCCCTATATGTATTCATAGAATTTACTTATGAGATTGTTGGGCAAACTAAAATTTTCATGATTCATTTCTGTAATAGGTTTTTAAAGGTAATATTGTGACTCTGTGTAGTTTAACATGCAAGGTGGTTCAACTAATGATGTTTATTTTTAGACATTAGCAAGATATGAATATGCTCATGAAATGCAAATCATTTGTCTTCCACTTTTCCCCCCTTCAGTTGCTTCCTTCACAAGATAGCTAACATGTCTACATGCTTATCCTATCTCACTAATAGTTCCTCTTCTTTGCTACTTCACTTTATTCTGGAAAACTCTACGATTAGAGAAAAAAGAAATTGGCTAGTTGGATATTATGAATTTCATCATTTTAAAGTGTTTAAGTTCTGGAAATGAGGAAAGCAACTTCGTTTCATGTAGGTTGATCTAGCTACACGAAATAAGTTACAACCTGTGTTTACATATATACGATGTGTCTAGCATGCAATACCTCGGACATTGTGCATCTACCACTCAGAGTGCTAGTTGTCGATTTTAGTCCATGGTGTTCGCTGAAGAGGCATTAACAGCTAACCATCTAACATGTATTTTATTTGAAGCTTCTGATGCACGAGCTTGATAACATGCATTATTATGATGTACTGGTAAATAATACCCTGCATTTGCGTGACCTGATGTATCTCCCCCTCATGTATGCCGTCATATAACATCACTTTAGACAGGTTGAAAATGCTAGCACTACTCTATTCTTGTAACATAGGATGTCTACCAGGAGAAAGCAACCAACTTTAATCCATATTATGTCGACCTTTGAATTTTGTACATAAAACAATTTTAGTTGATGTTGGTAAACCATTTAGTTTACGGGCAAGATACACTACTCATGTGAGGTGCTTTATTTGACTGCAACGTACTATCTTGACAAATATGCTACGTTCATTCTTACATGATCACTGCACGTCACGAATGCATGAATCCACATAGCATAGTTGTCAAGATAGTACATTGCTCGAATGCACCTAATAATTACATGAAAACATTGCACGAATGCATGTAATAAGTGCTTAGTTGTCAAGATAGTACACTGTTACGTGCAGTAGATTATGAAATTCACAAGCTATGGGAGCACAACAAATGTCGGGGTAATAATACCACACTCGCACAGGTAAACGATTGCATTACATCGGTTGGAATTCTCTTTTAGATTTAATGTATTGTAGAGAAAATCTTGTTCAAGTATCCTTCCTTCAGCATATCGTTTCTGGCTGGCTCCTTTGCCAGTGTATTGCTTGAGCGTGATTACCCTGTGCTTGTCACTATTACTACATGAAAATAATAATATAATGGAGGTCGTCTTCAAAGAGATCTTCCAATTTTGATGTTTAAACTCTCATGCTCCTGCATCTTTGGCTCTCAGATGTCTTCCGACTTAAAATTGGAAGTGTAAATTGCATATGACCCCCCTCATGCATACCTTCAGTAGCGTCCAATACCTCTCAACTCGTTTGTTAGTATATAATTAATAGTTCTATATTGTCATTTTTTGAAGGATAAACTAATAAATAAGTCAGCAGGGTTAAGTGCTACCGAAAATATAAATGAAGGGACTATCTAAAAGGATAAACTAATAAATAAGTCAGCAGGGTTAAGTGCTACCGAAAATATAAATGAAGGGACTATCTAAAATTTACCCAAATAGTAAACCTTGCTTCTTTTAAGGGACCTGCTTATTTTTAAGGGTTATTTTCATATATACCCTTTAAATCATGTATATTTGCAAAAATGCCGCCCAATACTCAGTATTTATAAAACTATCCCGCAAATATACTATCTACCCAGTAATGTATCTTGAGGATTTCTATTATGATGCAGACGTAACACACCTAAGGAGTAAGGAAGGAAACGTTGTCTAATTCATTCTTAATGTAGAGAAAGTAACACTTTCTAATTGGCAACTTATGCGGTGTACGTCTTTGTTTGTGCCTGTAGAAGCGTTCATGAGTTTACATTCATCTGTAAGAAGTTTTGCAGTTCATGTGGAGAATTGTGTGAGTCATTACTTTGATGAGTATATCATTATATTTGTCGTTGGTTTTCCATGTCTTGATATCCATCTTCTTGGTTTTGTGCGCAGGAGACGTTGCACTGCATGTGCTTGGTGGATCACTTTTCTCCAGAGCTATCATTCAAAATCTTTAGTATTTGAAATTTTGTTTTCGCTCTTCTCAGATTAGCCTCCTAGTCAATAATTTCTTCTCTGTGTATATTCGTAGAATTTACTTATTGAGATTGTCTGGTAAGCTATAAGTTTTCATGATTCATTTCTGTAATCGGTCTCTTGAGATAATGTCGTGACCCTATTTAGTTTTTCCTGATTCTTCCTAATTATTGGGTGAGATGCTTAGGGGGGGTTATTGGTTGGGACAAATTGGGGCCAAGTAGAAAAATTGTTCCAATGGAACAATTTTACTCCTTAGGGATATTTTGAGTGGGGTAAAGTGAGATAAAATGGGATAGTGGGACAATTTGAGCCTTTGATTTGACGATTCATGTGGGATAATTGATGATGTGGCATCTTATTAAAATATAATTTTATCTATTAATTATTTCTAAATTAACTTATACAATTGGTTTAGTATATTATTTAGTATATTATTATAATATAAATATTATTTTATTTTATATTAAAATATAATATATTGTACTATACTTATAAATTACTATATTGTATTATATTATATTATATTAACATGCTATACTATATATAATAATTAATATAATATAATATCAATCAATATTTAATATAATTATTAAATATTTAATAATATAATTAATCATTATTATACAAAAATATTATACTACATTAATAAATTAAATTAGATTAAAATAGAAATATACATTATATATATATATATATATATACTATATATATATATATATATATATATTATATATATATTGAGGATATGCGTTACTTGGTGCCAATGATTTGTAGTGATGGTGACACATCTGTCCATACATCACACCTTGAAGTTGGCTGATGCTTCCGATCTTCAATGATTGATGTATGAACAAATGTGTCCACTCATACCAAGGATCCTTGTACCAAAGTATACCCATTTCTCTATTATATAAATAATAATATATAATATATATATATATATTATATATATAATATGTTTAGGAAAAAATTGTCTTCAAGCCCCAACTTTCGAAAAAAAAATTAGCCAACGCCATGTATTTTAAAATTGGTATAAACCCAAAATACACTCCTAAACTTCATTTTGAGCCCCCCAGCTCACTCACCCGCCACGAACCCGAATCTACCCTCCGCCCACTCTCTACAGCCATCGCTGCGTGGTACGGTGCCGCCACTCCGCCTACCATATCGAGGCTCTCCTCCTTCTCTCCGTCTCTCTACCCTCCCCGCATCGTGGTCTCTTGGCCTTACTCTCCGCGCGAAAAACCAAAACGCTCTAGATGGTTAGTCGAACCAGTTCAGCAGATGGAGAAAAAATCGGCCGAACAATCAAGTGTTCACATCTCCGCAGCCCGTGCAACGTCAGAGATGTCACCACATGAACGACGAGCGAGAAGACTCGCCGT